GAAGGCCTAGTGTTTGGGCCCCACCCATGCTAATGGGTGAGAGCCTAATATGTATAATGAGGGGGGACCTAGTGTCCTCTCCCCTGGATCCCACCCATGCCAGTGGGTGGGAACACTAATATTTCTAATAAAGGGGGAGACCGACTGTCCTCTCCCCTTGCCCCCACCCATTCTGATGGTTGGTGGCCTTTAATAAGTATAATATAGGAAGGGCCTAGTGTTTCCTACCAAGACACCAGCAATGCCGGCAGGTGGGGACCCTAATATTTTAATAAAGGGGGGAACTAGTGTCCTATCCCCTGGTCTCCACGCATGCCAGCAGTGTGGACCCTAATATTTCTAAGAAAGGAGGGGACCCACTGTCTTCTCCCTTTGCCTCCTCACATTCTGGTGGTTGGGGGCCTTTAAACCCTGTGTCCCTCCATTTAATTAAGCAAGTGCCCTGGGGGCATGGGAGGGGGAGGGGGGGGGATTTAACATTCCTTTTTAACTAACACCAATTATTTTTACTCAATATTAGTAAAGTTTTCTGAAAGACCAATATTAAGAAAAGGGAAGGCTTTTTATAATTTTGGTCTTTCAGCTTTTTAGTAGATGGCTCCCTTATCCTTGTGGGATTGTCATAGCGATACCAAAAAAAGTTAGTCTGCTCAATTAAATGTGAGTACATCACTCTATACTTCTGGTACCTTTCATATTGTGAGCACTATTGTTGTCTCTTTTATATTTTTATGATCTTCATATCGATGATACATCTGCCTACCTACACATTCTCACGTATTCTATATGTGGGGATTGTACCACTGTACGCCATTCAGACTAGAGTTAGGTTAAGCTCTAACAATTGTGAGTAGGACCATAGACTTTTATTTATCTTTATGTTATCCTGGCATTTTCTGCACTATTAGTTCTCTTTTTCTGTTTCATATATGACTGCTCTGATCTGACTCCATTCTAGAAGAACTATCCTGATCATTTGAGGCTTTATTTTCTGGCCAATTTCTCCATTGGGACTTATATTTGGACATTCTTTTTCTTTTTGTTTGTTTTTTATATATAATTTAATTTTATATATATCCCCCATGGTCACCAGTGGAAAGAAAAAGACCAAGAAGAGAAAAAGAGAAGAACAAATAGAAGAATAACCAGACCAGATAAGGACAGTTATGAAACCAGTATATTCAACTTATCTAAACATCACCTGGATGAGAATGAGATGTCACTCTTGAAAAAGAGTGTTTAAAGAGGGTTTAAAATTAGTTCGAAACTCATAGAATATGAAATTCAATATGTTCATTGACCAACATAAGTTCATTAGAAAGCTCACTGTGAAATGTTTCCTTTTAGAGAACGAATATACAAATCAAAATATGGAGGAAGACTACATACATACTAACCTCCACCCCAAATCTACATTCTATCCGCAACAAACGAAAAGTGAAAACATCAGAGTCTTTGAGAAAATGGTAAATAAGGATTTAAGATCCCTCAAAACAAATACCAAAATGATTACAACCTCATGAAGAAAGAAAGAAGGGCTCTGAAATTACTAATGGAGGATAAGGACTACTATAAGAGCAGCAAACAAAGGAGGGGGACTAGTAATTATGAACAGTAAAGATTATGAGAAGAAAAATAAAAGACTGCTGGATGATATGGATACATACTTAAGGCTCGATAATAATCCCAGCTAACAGTTTATGGGTGAACTTGTGGAACTACTCAATATAGGTAAGGAACATGGAATATTGACTAAAAGGGAATATGACTATATTCTATGCAAGCATCCAAAGTTAGCGGTGCTTTATCACTTGCCAAAGATCCACAAAAGGCTAACTAACCCCCCGGAAGACCCATAATCTCAGGGATAGGTTCATTAACTTTGAGTCTTTCAGAGTACGTGGACCAGTTCTTACAACCAGTTGTCAGCAAATTGAAATATTACCTCAGAGATACCACGCAAATTATCAAGATCCTGTCCAACGTACAGTGGAATAAGGAGTATATTCTTGTAACAGCAGACGTGACATCGTTATACACAGTGATTGAGCACCTCCAGGGCTGCGAGGCAATTCAATACAATCTAGCAGTGTTTTTAGAATAGAAAAATTATCAAATTAATTATCTGGTGGAGTGCATAGCGTTTATTTTGAGTCACAACTTTATTTTCCTCCAAATTGAAGGCAGTGCAATGGGAACCAGGTTTGCACCGAGTTATGCAAATCTCTTCATGGGTAAATGGGAAGACGAATATATTTGGAACAACTCCCTAGTGGTAGCAAACCTGATCCTATGGCAGAGATACATAGATGATTGCATCTTCATCTGGAAAGGTGACCTGACGTCTCTATAACAATTTAAGCAATATCTCAATTTTAATCTGCATAACCTGAGATTCACTTTTTCACCATTCTGAAGAATCTGTTGAATTCCTGAACCTGGAAATATATATTAAAGAAGATAAAATCAACACTAAAACTTTTAAGAAATCAGTGAACTGTAATAGTTTTATTCCTTCCAACAGTTACCATAAGAAAATGTGGCTGAAAAACATACCTTTCAGCCAATTCAGAAAGATTAGGCGTAACTGCTCAGAAATTGAAATATACAAACTACAAATGGAGGATGAAAGGGTATGCGGGAGATCTATTGGAAGGATCAATGAAAAAAGCACTAGAGATACTTAGGGAAGATACCCTGGTGAACAAAGTTAAAACATCTCAATAGAAAATGGAAACTCCACCATTTATAACCCAATATAGTAGTCAATCTCTTCAATTAAGAAAGATTCTCAACAAGCATTGGAGCATACTTAAAGGGTATCCAGTGTTGGATCAAATCCTGGGAAGTAAACCCATGATTGTATACTCTAGAGCACCCAAACTAAAAATGATGCTAGCCCCAACGTTAACAGAAGAGAAAAAAAAGACATTCTAAATCAATGGGAGTAGGATTCCATAAGTGTGGAAAATGCATAGGATGTAAAAATAATCCAACCCAAACATCCCAGGTCAACAAATTCAAACATAAGGAAACTGGAGAAGATTTCAAAATCAAAACACATTTGAACTGCAACTCAAGTGGAGTGATATATCTCTTGATATGTCCTTGTGGAAAATACTCTATCAGTAGAACTAAGATGGTCTTCAAAATCAGGTAAGGTGAGACCTAACCTAGCCAGCAATACTCTAATATAGAGCATGAATTTACTAGTGGTGAGAGCATTACCATATATGGTAAACAACAGGTTAGGAATATCAAAAAGGGTCTCCCCACACATAATCTCTCTAGACACTTTTCCAACGAACACTCAAGAAACATAGAAGGCTTGCAATTTATGGCCATTGGAGATGGCCTTAGATACAGCAGAGGCCAAGTCAATTTTCCAGTTAGACACTTTGGAACCAAGAGGACTTAACGTTGATTTTAAGTTGAATGTATTTTTGTAGGAATAGTTTATTATGATTTGTGTACTTTATTCACATGTATTTATAATTTTTATTTTTATTTATTTTTTATTTTATTTAGTTTTTTTTATTCTATTTTTTTCTATTTTTATTTATTTATACTTTTATTATTATTTATTTATCTTTAATTTTATTTTTATATTTTTATTTTCCAATGAGTGTTTATAATGTTTCATTGTTAGTTATGTCTGATTTTTCTACTTATGTATCTTTTTCCAAGGTTAAGTGATTCACCTCCACAATATTTTGTCCAGCTTCCATTTTTTTTATTATTCTTTATTTTTGCAGTGCATATGTTGGTTAACATGCTTATAATGACATTTAGTGAGAAAAAAATACAGTGAGGTTAAGAGCAGGATTATCAACAAATGTCAGAGATATAGCACTTTTTGTGTTTATAGTGGGGGGAAAAAATAGGGAAAACTGTACATTGTGTAGTGCTAATGAGAGAAGTTATAGTAAGGCAGTTACATATCCTAGGCATTGATCTTGATGGTCAACTATGTTGACGAGCTTAGGCAAGGTAAGTATCTAGAAGATGAGAGACAGGCTAGAAATCATCATGAGATAAACACGTGTACGTTTACCACCGGGTTTCAGCCGCAAGATTATGTGTCACAAACGAGTAGGTAATGAGCGGAGCTGCCCCATGGTAGTACAACAAGTAAGCCATACCAAGATGTGGAAGATTATACTTAGTGGCAGGTTGGTGATATTGGACATTGGTTTCCAAGTTCCCTGTTGCGGGAAAGTATATTACATAGGCGGTCATCAGCCGGCTTTATGGGGCTGTGCTGTGTTTATTTTTTGCGGGAGTGCAGATAAGCCCAATGGAGAATTAAGTAAGCTCCATATCTTGGGGGGGGAGGGGGTTGGCAGTTGGGGAGCAGTTATGGGCATTGTCGCATTTCATAGGGGTATTAATGATCTGTATAGGTCTGAGGGTCCCAGAGGACATAGCTTGGGGAGAGCATACAAGAACGTAAAAACTTTAAAACAAAACAGAGTGCAGAGGTACAACATTAAATAAAACAAGTTTAACGTCAAGTTGTAGGCTAACATGAGGAGGTCAGTCAGTTAGTCGCCTCATCCTGGGGCCGTTGAGCTGGCAGGTGTAAAGACCCCTACGTTGTCAACATCCCACTCGTGTGTAGGTCTGTTCGGCCTGGAAGTGGTGGTAGTGGTCTGTCCCAGAGATTGCAGGAAGCTGTCGGTGTTGAACACTGAGGTAAGTCTGTGCCTTTTACCATTCCTCTCTGCCACAAGCGCTTGTGGGGTCCCCCACCTGTATGGAATGTCTACTGTTCGCAGTTGAGAAGTCACCTCCTTCAATGTGGCACGCCACTGCAGTGTGGACCTGCTGAGATCTTGAAAGAAGCACAGTGAATGTTGTTCAAAAATGAATGGAGATTGGCCTCTGACTTGTGCCATAAATGAGTCTTTGTCAGTCCATGACCGAAAGCATACTATGACATCTCTGGATCCAGAGGGTTTGTTTGTAAGGTTCCCTGTGAGGCGGTATATCCCATCTAGTAGCGTACCTTTAGCCTGTTTGGGTGTCAAGGTAGTGGAGATTAGTTTCATAATGAACTGTGGGAGCTCACCAGCATCGATAGCATTTGGGATCCCCCAGATTGTTAAATTGCACTGTCTTGCCATATCTTCCTGCTGTCCCATTTCTGCTGTCAGCTCTGCACATGTAAGGGATACCTCATGTAGCTGGGCCGTTGTGGTATCCTGTTTGAGGCTGCGGACATTTTTCTTTGTGGATTGTATCCTGCCTGCCAGAGTGCTGAGGTCTGTTTTCAGGACCACCATTTCTGAGGCAATGTAGGCCTTGATCTCCGTCACCATCGCGGTGATGTCTGTTTTTGTGGCCAATTGTGGGTCGGGCTGCCGTTGGGAAACCACTCTGCCATTTCGGGCATGTGGCTGAAGCTCCTCTGGTTCTGGATCTTACTCCTACGAGGCCGATGTGGATCCGCGTTGTGTATCTGCCATTCGATCCGCCATTTTAGGCCTGGATGGCTGGGTGAGTAAGAAGCTGATATCCCGGGTGTGGCTCTCACTCGAACCCCGAGATTTGCAGAAGTGCTTGCCCATGGTCTCCTGCACCAGTCAGTGCTTTTTGTGTGCAGACCAGCTTACCCGATCAGGGTAATTTATGTTTCTGCTGGAAGCAGTAGTGGCTGCTTAAATGTGGAAGGAGTGTCATGAGTAGTGGGATGGATTGAGACCTAACCTAGCCAGCAATACTCTAATATAGAGCATGAATTTACTAGTGGTGAGAGCATTACCATGTATGGTAAACAACAGGTAAACAACATTAGGAGAAGCTGGAAAAGGAATTTATCTAGTACTTGTACCGGGCACCATTTGTTGCTGGTAGGGTAATAGGGGATCTTTACCACTTGATTTGTTGGTGTGATTTTAGTGTGGTTGAGGGATAGTATGTCATGATCTTGTATTTTTACAATCTGGGATCCCCTAATGCCGTCTTGAGATGTGATGTTTGTAGTGGTAAACTCTCCGGGTTTGAGAAACCCATAGAAAGCTAAGTAGGTAGCAGTTTTAATGACATGATTAGTGTGCGATTCGAAAGGGGTTGTATTCAGAAGGTCTGATAATGATTGGAAAAGTTGACTATGAATAGGTGATCTAGAAGATGGTGGTATGGGGTTTGAATTTTTAATGCCTTTTAGTATGGTTTTGATTTGATAAGATGATAGGAAACTGTGGTTGTTGGCCAAAGTGTAAGCATATGGTGTTGTATCCCTGTCAGGTATAATTTTAAGATATTGAAAGATAATTTAATTTAAGGTGGCAAAAAACATGAAAGCTACAATAGTTTCTATGGAATGTTTATTTACAACCTGAAAGTCCAACAAGAATCTGTTATAAATACGGAATGCCCTGTCGTATGACTTTCTAGTATTGTCAGACAAAGCTAATTGTGAAATGAGTCTGCCATTAGTTAACAGATCTCTGAATCCAATGTCATGTCCCATGAGGGCCTGGTGCTTTGTGTTTGGGGAGTGTAGTGATCGCTTTCCTAACCTCCTCCTCCGTAAACGGGTTCACGAGCATTGCAAGAATGTATCTATTTCCTCCCTAGTAGGCTGGTGTGTTTCTGGGTCTATATGCAATTGGTAGAGGGATTCGTAGAACCCTGCTAGCTCATTAACAATGTCCTGAGGATGATATAATTTTATCCCCTGTTTGGATGTAATATAGGGAATTTTAGTTTGCAATTGCCTCTGTTTCAATTTGTTGGCCAGTCGTTTGCCTGCTTTATTTCCTGTAATATAGTAAGTTTGCTTTAGATACCGCATATGCTGTTCAGTCGTGTGGAGTTGTAGGGAGGTAAGTTTAGTTTTTAAAGTCATGAGATTTTTGTGGTGCTGTCTACTTGGGTTGACTTTGTGTAGGGCTTCTAGTTCTATGATTTCTTGTTCTAATTTAATTTGTTTGTCGAGGTGTTTTTTCTTATTTAGGACACCCATTTGAATAAGGTGATCCCTTACCACCGCTTTATGTGCTAACCATTGGGTCGTTAAGGGGGTCGTACATTGTTTATGTTCAAAAAAGTATTGTGCTAGACGGGTCTGCAGGTCAGTTAAAAATTTTGGGTTGTCTAGTATTGCTTCATTTAGCCTCCACATGCCTCGGCCCCTAACCAGGTGGGGGGCCTTCAATATAACCGTCAGTGGTGCATGGTCCGACCAAGTGATTGAGCCTATGTTCGCCCCAATAGCATGTCGTAGTGTACTTTTGTCAAGTAAGCACAAGTCAATTCTGGAGTAGGTCATGTGTACCTGTGAGCAAAATGTATAGTTTCTATCTGTGGGATTAAGGGTGCACCATGCGTCGTAATAATTTTTGGTGTGTAGGAGATCAGATAGGTGTATGCCCAGTGAGATGGCTTTTTGTGTGGGCACCAAAAAACCAACAGTGTGTAAGCACAAAAAAGTACACAAAAAAGTACACAAAATAAATAGTTACAAAATAAAGCGCGCTAAATATGTCTGTAGATAAAAAAGAGACAAGTAATAGTGCAGACTATCTGGACTAACACAAAAGTAAGAAAGGAGGGGGGTATAGGGGAGAAAACTCACATATACCAGAGCCGTATCAACCCTGGCTCTGGGTATTCAATGCTCCTCTGGAGAGGGGATATCCCCACACTGAAGATGACCCCAAGCAGTATGTCCACAAAAAACTTGATAGTGCTGTGCAAATAAAGGGTAGAGAGAGGCAGGACCTCCAATTGAATAATATAAAAAATGATTTATTATATAACAAAAGTTAAAAACCCTTACTTGGTAAGTGGTGGGTTATGCTCACAAAGTTACCCACATAAAAGCATATAAAACGACAAGAATGAAAATCACTTCCTGGTTGCGTCCGTCCCAATCACGTGATCCACTTCCGGGTCCGCCTCTCAAGCGACGTATGTGTGACGCGTTTCGCCCGCCTCCACAGGCCTCCTCTGCTGTTCCATTGGTTGGGGGCGTGGTTTGATCAGCCGAGCTGGTCTAGCTTCTTACTTGTGTGTATATGGATATAAAATCCTACCTACTCTAGTATATAAACGTGTAATCTGCCTAGCCTGCCTAAAACAATTAAGGGCTGATGTCAATCCAATACTAGCACATAATTTCAAATTGGACAGAAGCAAAACATACATTGTTTTAAAGCTTAATGGTATACACATAGAAATAGAAATGAACACACTTTCATTTCAAAGTGTGTTCATTTCTATTTCTATGTGTATACCATTAAGCGTTAAAACAATGCGCATACGCATTAGGTTTCCTCAGCCGGCAGGCGGGATCAGTCTCGTCCACCGCCTGACCTGATTACTAGAAGGAGCAATGCCGACCCGAAACCATCGCTGAGGGACATCGGCGGGGTCTCGGGTAAGTGACCTGAAGGGGTTTTCACCCCTTTAGCTACCTGGGATGGGAGGTGGGAGGGAGAGGGTACCTGCAGTGCCAGGAAAACAGATTGAGTCAACCAAAACCTATGAGACTTGAAAACCTTTAATCACCTTTTCAGGTTTAGCTGAGAAGGGAAGGGAAAGGAAAGGTAGCTCCCAGCTCAGGGGTTTTAGGACATAGGTTTGTGGTATGTGAGGACGAAGAGCAAATACCACAAGCTGGGGACCTGAGGACAGCTCCGTGTCCAACTGGCTCCAGTCCATCTGAAAATTTAACTGAGCCAGGGCCATAGACACCTTCGCGGAGAATGATCTGTGGTAATCATACTTATGCCCCAGATCCACCAACTTGTGTAAATACAGGTCGAATTCCTCTCTGTGTTCAGGATAAACTGAGCACACCACATCCCTATAAATACTGAAAGCCAGGACAAAATCAGCAATTGATAACTTCCAATTCAACCTGGGGTCCCTAGACTTCAGTACGACCGAGACACCGCCATAGGAATAGGTCTTGTTCTCCAGAATATCTTGGGAGGCAATCAGGAGTGAAACTAAACTGATATCCTTGCCTTCCAAGATAGCCTTCTTGATGTTATCTGTTACCATGTGAGCTGGGTTGATGATATTAGGGTTCTGTAATGGACCTATAAATTTACCAGTCAGGGTGCCTGAGAGACAAGTAGGTTCTGGAGTAACCAATCCAGATGATGCCACTGGCCTGTTATTAGCATCCAAATGGTCCAACCTATCCGTACTCCATCCCAATGAGGACAAGACTGATGACAGGATGGCATAGAGGTCGGATGACTGGGCACCGCTAGGGCCCTCGCCAGCACCGGTGTTATTCGTGTTGGTATTGAGTAGCCTATAAAGTTCTGCCTTCCTGGCAGTGGCAGGGTAGGGAATATTCCTGCGCCTTAATTCGGCCGTGATCCTAGGTATGATCCAGGACCTGAGGGAAGACAGGCTGGCATTGTCCCCTCCATGAGATGGAGAGATGGACCGTGCAGGAATCCTTGGAACTGACAAATCCTTAATAGCTTCTGGTAGGCAGACATGCTAGAATAGGACAAAAGATTCATAAGTAACCAAAGTGATAATAACGAATGGCAAAAAGTATCTAATAAGGGAGAGGGGAGCCCTGCTAATTGCCAAGTGGCATGAGAGGCTTCAGCTATGTATTGGCCCGAGGGGATTTAGTGGCCACTGAGATTGTGGTGGGGTGGTGGCCTCTCGTGACTAGTAAAGCAAAAGATAGCATGGGAGTTACAGGGGGAGGCCCTCTCTATACCACCATGCGAGGCGACTAACTATGAGGTGGCCGTTGGATGTGAGTACCTCCGAATATGAGGATGGGTGTTGGCCTCATGGGACCACTAAGACTAGGCAAGAAGACTAGAAAAACTAAATAAGCGGATGCTGAAACCTAGCAGCCAGTAGACAAAGTCTTACCCTAGTGGTAGTTGCAGGATGGGGAGGGCGGAGAAGTGTAACGACCTCTGGGTACACCTACCTGTCATGCCAGATGGATATAGAGTAGGACAGAGTAGATGAAAACTGAGCAATACCTACGAGAGTAATGGTAATCATGTAGTACCTATAACGTGACTGTAAATAGTAGTAAACCAACATGAAAATACTATGGGATACCTACCAGCTTATAGACTAGGCCTAAAAATGAACCAGGCAGAACGTAAGTGATAGTATAACCAGTAGGCCTAGAACCTAATAACATAAAAAAGAATCAATTAGGTTATCTGAGCAATGAGGGTCAGATCGTGGATTCATAAGACAAATCTAAACCACTAAACAATGTGAATTTGTGGAATCGAAAGAGAAAAGATGATAGTGAAATGGCCGAGTGACTTCAATCTGTAATATATAATATCAGTCATATTAAAACTTCAAAAGA